AAGACGTTTTCCCCATTCCCAGCATTCTTCATTTAATTGTTATTTTTGCATACGGTTTTAAAATTGGCTATGAATCTCAGCATCTGCTCTGATACCTGGCAGGATAGTGACTTTCTGTGGTAAGTTCCTATCCAATTCCTTGTTTTCTCTCTCTTCTGATGTCCATCCTCTCTGTATAGCTCTGTACCTTATCTTTTAATTGGATTACTTGGTTTGTTGAGATTCATAGCCAAACTTTGGGCAGAATTCAGAGGGTCTTATTGAAGAAGGAGGAGATAGAAAAACCTGGAGAGAACAGGAGCTCCATAAGAAGAGCAAAAGAACCAAAAAAAAAAAAATCTGGGCACAGGGGTCTTTTCTGAGACTGATATCCTAACAAGGACCATGCATGGAGATAACTTATAAACCCTGCACAGAAGTAGTTCATGACAACTCAGTGTCCAAGAGGGTCGCCCAATAATATGAACAAGGCCCATCTTTAACATGAACTCATGGACTGGCTCTTTGATCACCTCCACCTAAGAGGAAGACAAAGAAGCCTGTCCTGATGAGATCTTATAGACTAGGGTCAGATGGAAGGGGAAGAGGACTTCCCCTATCATTGGACTGGGGGAGGTGCATAGCAGAAGATGAGGGAAAGAGGGTGGGATTGGGAAGGGAGAGGGGAGGGGGCTACCACAGGGATACAAAGTGAATAAACTGTATTAATTAAAAAATAAAAATAAATAAAATAAAAATTGGTAGAAATAATTCCTATGCTATACATTCTATATTATCTGGTAGTTTCATAATGAAATGGTAGTATTCAATAAAAATTCCACTGAATAAAATCTAGATTTTCTGTATGCATTCATCACTGTCATACAGTTATCTAAGGAAATGAAAATTTTATCCACTTCTACTGTCTATCCTATTTACCCTTCTGAGTAACATTCTGCAACACTCCTTTGCGCCCTACTTATTGCTTAGCTTCTTGGGTCTGAGGATTGAAGTATGGTTATCCCATACTGTAGGTCTAATATCCACTTGTAAGTGAGCACATACCATGCATGACTTTCTTGGTCTGGGTTACTTCACTTAGGATAATCTTTTCTAGTTTCATCCATTTGCCTGCAAATTTCATGATTTCCTTATTTTTAAGAACTAAGTAGTATTCCATTGTGTAAATGCACCACAATTTCTTCTTTTTAAATCTTTATTAATTACACTTTATTCACTTTGTATCCCCCCTGTGGTTCCTTACTTCCTCCCATCCCAATCACTCCCTTCCTCCCCCCCTCTGCATGCATGCCCCTCCCCAAGTCCACTGATAGGGAAGGTCTTCTTTTCCTTCCTTCTGATCTTAGTCAGTTAGGTCTCATCAGGAGTGGTTGCATTGTCTTCGTCTGTGGCCTGGTAGTGCTGCTCCCCCCTCAGGGGGAGATAATTAAATAACAGGCCAATCAGTTCATGTAAGAGACAGTCACCGTTCCTATTACTATGGAACCCACTTGGACACCGAACTGCCATGGGCTACATCTATGCAGGGGTCTTAGGTTATTTCCATGCATGGTACTTGGTTGGAGTATGAGTCTCTGGGAAGACCCCTGTGTTCAAATTTCTGGTTCTGTTGCTCTTCTTGTGGGGTTCCTGTCCTCTCTAGATCTTACTATTTCCCACTTCTTTCACAAGATTCCCTGCACTCTGCCCAAACATTGGCCATAAGGCTCACTGTCTGCTTTGATAGTCTGCAGGGCAGAGCCTTTCAGAGGCCCTCTGTGGCAGGTTCCTAGGTTGTTTCCTGTTTTCTTCTTCTTCTGATGTCAATCCTATTTGACAATGCAGCCACTCTTGATGAGATCTGATAGACTAAGATCAGAAGGAAGGAGAGGAGGACCTCCTCTATCAGTGGACTTGGGGAGGGCATGCGTGAAGAAGTGGGAGGGAGGGTGGGTTCGGGAGGGGAGTAGGAAGGGGCTTATGGGGGGATACAAAGTGAATAAAGTGTAATTAATAAAAAAATAATTTATAATGTAAAAAGAAGGAAGAATGACTGCAATACTGAAGAAAAACTCAAAAGGAAATTTTCCATAATATCCTTCAAAAAAAAAAAAAAAAGAATTGTGAGCTCCTTTAAATGCTTTCTTCTCTAGGTTTTCTTGGTCATAAGTGTCTCTTCATAGAAGCAGAAAAGTGACTAAGAATCACAGCTACCTCTATCAGAGTTATACAACATAGGTAAAAACAAATACTTTGCACAGTAAAACAAGTTCACCTGTAGTCTAAAATGTTTTTGCAAGTTTTTCTTGAGAATTTCTAACATCCTCTTAAAAGAACTATAAAGAAAAAAGGTTAAACACAATGAAAAACAAATTATAAAGAAGCAAGGGCCACATAAAAATCTTTTTTATTTTTAAATTTTTATTTTGATATTAATTACAGTTTATTTACTCTATATCCCAGCTGTAACCCCCTCCCTTATTCCCTCCTAATCCCACCCCCTCCCTCATGTCCATGTCTTCCCTGCTCCTCTCTCTAATTCCACTGATAGGGGAAGACCTCCTCCTCTACCATCTGATCCTAGTTTATCAGGTCTCATAAGGACTGGCTGCAGTGTCCTCCTCTGTGGCCTAGCAAGGCTGCTCCTCCCTCAGGCAATGGGGGGAGGAGGTCAAAGAGACAGCCACTGAGTTCATGTTAGAGACAGTCCCCATTCCCCTTACTAGGGTACTCACTTAGATGCTGAGCTGCCATGGGCTTCGTCTGAGTAGAGATTCTAGGTTACATCCATGCATGGTTCTTGGTTGGAGTATTAGTCTCAGATAAGCCCCCTGTGTCCAGATATTTTTGGTCCTTTTGGAGCTCTTGTCTTCTCTAGGTCTTACTACCTCCCTCTTCTTTCACATGATTCCCTGCACTCTGCCCAAGTTTGGTTATGAGTCTCAGCATCTGCTTTGATACACTGCTAGGTAGAGTCTTTCAGAGGCCCTCTAATTTATACATGAAAATGTTATGCAAATACTTAAAAATATCAATGATCAAGACAGTGAAATAATGAACATTTTTATATACTAAAGACTATAAAAATAATATTAATAATATGGTACATTGTAGCATCTAAAATTCACATCAGTGGTAGATTAGACATAGTAGGAAAAGACCTAGAATTTGTATATTCATTCTGAGGCCACAGCCAGGATACAACACATCAGTAAAATATTTTAAAATAACCATATTTCTAAGAAAGTTGTTCAAAGGTTTACGATGCCTTTTGTAAGTGACCCAGATAAAGGGAGCTGTGGAATTACACTTTAATCCTGTATAGACACAATACTTCAGAATGTTCAAATAAGGTTGAGACATACAAAAAAAAAAATAGATTCAGCATGGAGTACAAACTTCAAGAACTGCAAGCTATGCAGAAAGAAAACAACGTGTTCCCAGGCCCATCATGATAAAACTGAAAAAATAAGCAGACAAACAAAAGCAAGAGTAAAATAAAGCACATCAAAGATTCTCAATAAGCCAGAGACTGGAAAGTATCAGCTTACCCAAGGTAAAGCTCACGGAACAGTGGAAAAACTGAAGTGAATAAAGTTGATGACGATGAAAGTTGACACAGAACTATGTCCATTTAAAACCATCAAAAAGGGAAACAGTTAATTTAGAAAAATAATCACAGTTATCTCTTCAAATAAACATTAGGTATGTCAGTATATAAATGACATATAGTAGAAACAGTAAATGAATTGTTCAGAACTTTCAAATACAGGTTGTCCTAAAAATGAGCTATTTTGCTTTTATTTTTGGTTATCTTAATATTTATTTATTAATTGTTTTAAAAACTTTTTATTGGTTATTTGTGAATTTCATATCATATACTTCAATCCCACTCATCTCCCTCTCCCCTCGTACCCACGCTCTACCTTTGCAACTACACCCCACAACAGAGGGAAAATAAAACTTCTCATTGGGAATCTGTAATGTGTTACAGGGTATATCCTTTGGTCCACAATTCTTTGCTCACAAATGTTTGTTGCAATAACACATTGGTTTGGTACAAGGCCTCTGGCTTCTGCCTCTCTATCAGTACTGAAACCACTTTGGGATTCTTGTTGAATAGTCTGTTGTTTCTGTGTCATAGGGAGGGTGTATTTTGGGATATGTAGGAGCAGCCACTTCATGTACTCTGCCAGTTCATTGATGGGTAGATGTTGGGGTGGGCTATTTAAAATTGCCTGGCTCTGGGGTTGAGATGTATATGAGCTGGTCAGCCTGTCACCTCTCCCACTCTCACTTCCTTGGCGCCAGCTGATTGGCAAGGCTTGCAACCAGGGCCAGCTCTACTCTCCTGCCCAGGGAAGGTGCAGGGCCACTCTTCGGAGTGTTGCAGGTAATGAAGAACGTGGCCAGTACTCGCACTCTCATGATCCTGAAGCTAGAGCTCTTGCCTACCTTAGAAGGTGAGAGGAAATGGAGGGTAAACATCTCTAGCGCGCGTAGATGCTACCACACCGCCCAGAGGAGTCAGAGCTATTTCTCCCACACTCACACACTTGGAGCTAGCTCACTTGCAACCCTCACATCCAGGGCCAGCTTAATTCTTTTCCATATCTCCACCACTTTATTTCTCCTCTTAGTGGTACCCAGGGTCTGTGGGTGTCTGAGGTCATCTCAGGAGTGGTCTCAGGAGTGCCATGCCCTGCTTATGCATTATGGCACATGGAAGAGTTCATCCCAGGCATGGTATGTGTGCCCCACACCCAGGCCTGTAATGCACAAGACTGGTGGTCATCTCAGGCTATCTCTCTGTCCAGGACCCATGGCAGATGTTTCAGGCTTGCTTCTCTCCCACTCTGCTCGAGGTGCCCCATGCAAGGGTTATCTATCCTGGGCTCACATCGGCCTTGATCTTTGGTTGTCCCAGGCAAGATTCTTCTCGCCTCCAGTTTGTTTTCATCCTGGGAGCCATAAAAACCTGTCTGGCTCCAGAATGGTAGTCATCTGAGGCTTGCTTTGATCGTGGAATGCTATTATTTATATGTGTGTGTGTGTGTATTCAGAACACTGAGCATAGGCATAGGCTCTCTCTTCTCTGACACCTACCAAAGCATATGTGACACATCAGCTATATCTGCAATACATCTAAGGGCAGAAAAAAAATGAGCTATTTTCAATGTAAGTCAAATCAAAAAATTTTCTCTGTATTTCAAATAAAATAGATAATATGTATATATGTGATATAATATCAGAGTAATTAATATATATGTATATGTGGGGGCTCATAGCTAGCAGTAAGTATTGTCAAGAGCAGCTAAGAGATCAGGATAAAGGATAAGGCTACATTAAAAACTGACCATGAATGGAGAAAGCAGAGCAAGACCTTTAATAAACACATATACATACACGGCTGTATTATTGTGTGTGTGTATAGATAGATAGATAGATAGATAGATAGATAGATAGATAGATAGATAGACAGGTAGATAGACAGATAGATAGATAGACAGAAAAAGGTGGTTAGGTTATTCAGTGATTTCATATGGTTACTAGAACAAATTATCACAAACAACTAGTTTAAAATAATATTTTTTTCTTTTTACTTTTCTTAATATATCCTGATTGAAGCTCTCTCCCTCAAATTCCCCAAGTACCCCCCTTCCCTCTTCTCCCTATTCCCTTCCCCTAGTCCACTGAAAGGGGTTGTTTTCTACTATTGCCATCTGCCCATAGCTTGTTAAGTTTCATCAGGACTACGTGGATCCTCTTCCTCTGTGGCCTGACAAGGACACTTCAACACGGGAGAGTGATCAAAAAGCAGTCAGCTGAGTTCATGATAGAGGCAGCTCCTGCTACCCTCACTCAGAGATCCACATGGAGACTGGGCTGCCAGTCAGCCACATCTGAGCACGGGTCTAGGTCCTCTCCATGCTTGGTCCTCCGCTGGTGCATCAGTCTCTGCAGGACTTCCTGCGCTCAGAACTTTTAGTTTTGTTGGTCTTCTTGTGGGGCTCCTGTCCCCTCTATGTCCCTCTGTTCCCACCTCTCTATTTGTCCATAAGACTCTCATCATTCTTCCCAAGGTAGCCATCAGAAGTGGTGGAAGGGAGGAAACAGTATGGGAGCCTACTATAGAGGCTCCTCAGAAAGGATTCATCCAACAGGGGATTGACTGAAGCAGATGATGACTTGTTTTTCTTAACAGTTCTGAAATCTAGAGCTTGAGATCCAGGAATCGAACAATCAAGTCTTGAAGTTGGTGAGGAAAGAGAGATTCCATTTATTTCTTGCAGTATCCGATGGGGGACAAAAAATCTTTTGTGTCCCTTCATTTGCAGCACATGATTGCATTATCTGCACTCATCTCTTCATTCCTCTTTTCTCTTGAAGACAAAAGAGCCTGAATATTAGTGTCTTCCATAATCTAGGTTGACATAAATTTAAGTACATTATTACTAAGTAGTTTTTATTATGAATCTCTATTTTTTTTTACAATTATATGTGTATGTTTGTATATATACGCTCGTACACTATTGTCTCTTACACAGAATGCTCCATTCAGTAAGGACTCTATTCCCTCTATTTCTCGTTTTATGGTCTTAATTATGTATTATGGATGAAATTCTATGCACTTTTCCTATTTTATAGTTGCTTAAGTCTACATTGCAAGTATCAGAGTCATTTGCTTGATTGATTTATTGATTGCTTTTGGTGTTTGATAAATTATTCTTCCACAGCCTCTACTACATTATTAAAAATAATGTAGTTAGATAATGTAATGATTACTTAATAATAACTACTGTCTGGAAAGTCTCTCTTTCCAAATGAGGTTCTGTTCTAAGGTTCAGGGTGGATATGAGTGAATGTGAGGACATCACTGGACCACATATAGATCCTGAAGGACTTTCTCAGATTATTGTTAATGTGAAACATCTTAATATTTTTAGTGGCACCAAATGCTTTTTGAGTTGTAACAAAGCATCAAACTTCATGTCTTTTATATGCAGACTTATTTACACAATTGTTTGACAACAGAAAAAATATTTATTGACCAACCAAACATACATGTTAACAAAATAAGCAGTAGGAACTCCTACACAGTTCCAGTATTATTAACTAAAACAAGCAGACTGCCGAACCAGCAGGACAACTTGAGTTGAAATTGTCCATGATTATTATACAGAGACTTTACTCCTAGGTAGAAAGCTACAATAATTGGAAAAATCCAGTGTGTTTGTGTGTGTGTGTGTGTGTGTGTGTGTGTGTGTGTGTGCGTGTTCAACAAAATACACAATAAGGATTCACTTATTCACTGTTGCAGATCACAATCACCTAAATCTGAAAACATCTACAGATTATTTCAGTATTAGAACTTTTAGAACAATTGTGTCAATTTATAGGAATAAAATATGATACAATATAAGTCCAATTTCTGTTATGCACAAAATGGTATAAACAAGGAATTAACAGAAATAGTATTCCATATGTTTTCATTTCACTTAAAGGTCAATTTGGAATAGCTATCATGAGAGAGAAAAGAGAGAATGAGCTGAGTGACCAAAGGAGCAGATAAGGTGAATGAGCCTGGTTTTGGATAAGGAATATCGACTTGCATTGATCACAGAGGTTCTAAAGGTTAGATAGTCAATGGAAGCCTAATGCCAGAGCCGGCAGGTAAAAGAGACTTTTACAGAACATTTGTATTATATTCTCAAATTGTAAGATTCTCAGATTATAAGATTCTCAGAAAGTTATCATATGGCTATTTTTGTAATATGAAAACTCAAGATGTTGTTTATTCTTTATCTACATTTATGTATATGATTTTGAAAACTACAATTTACATAATACATAATTCACACAAGCATATTTACAGAATACTCATTTTCTTTCCCATTTTAGTACTTCCATGGTTAAATGTTTTTAGTATATATCTCTATTTCTTTTCATTATTATACATATGTATAATATATATATATACATATATATTACACTATTACCTTTTACACAAAATGGCACATTCACTTCACCAATCTATTCACTCTATTTCTTTTTTTATGAAGTTAACTCTCTAATGCAGCCTTTCTATTTTATGTGCCTTTCTATTTTATAGTTGCTTAAGGCTACATTGCAATGATTAGAGTTGTTTGATTGTTTGTTTGGTTTGGTTTGGTCTTTTGATAAATTATTCAAATGCCTGAATGTAATAATTTAAGGATAAATCCAAGACTTGGTGGCTGCAAAGTAAGGAGATCAAATCAGACACACACATATGAATGTGTTCCTGCATTTAAGCAACAAAACAAAATCGAGAGTGGGTATGCCCAGTTCACTGAAGCACATGTGAGATGAGTAAGAGGCTTCAAAGAAGATACGGCTCTTGGGAAGTCACACACTCTTGACAACTAACTCATTGAATTTTCTAATACTTATTATAAGCAAGGGTCACCCAAATCCCAACTTTCAAACTAAGACAATTGAATCTCAGAAAGGCATGATGGATGTCTCAAAATGTAGCAACTTGTGTGCAAAATATGTGAACTGAGTGAATGTTTCACACAAGGCCAGGTCCAGACCATGTGACTGTTTTCTTACTAGACAGTCTACAGATCCACTAAGCCAAAGTAGAACTTACCAAAATTAAAAAAAAAAATTAATAAACTGTTTTAATTGTTCTCCAAAGAGAAGGCATGAATCAAGGGCCTTCACTGAGCAAAGTACTAAGTGATCAGAAACTAAACAGTGACTATAAAAATATACAATGTCTAAATTTACCTAATTTTTTTGGTTTCCTTGGTAGTCTGCTGTAAATCTGGGGAGGTAATGCCACTAACAAAAAGCAAAACAATATTTGAGGGAATGTTAGTTGGAAGAGATGTACACCTTTCTTTGAGCAATATTATTGATATATATGTAAATATATATATATATATATATATATATATATATATATAATGGAGGCCAGCTCACAATAATGTTATTTTATATATAAATTAGGTAATATTTTAATTAGCAAATATAGTTGGATGTCAAATTGAATTCACTTAAATATGAACAATATCTAATGAGATCCAAATACTTGAATAGATTTTTTTCTCAAGCCATATGACCAGAAAGTAGGTTTTCTATTAGGTGATTATAATAATATATTTATTCAAAAGATGTTTACTGATTTTTCTGTAAATATCAGATGTCCCATCAAGAAAGTGTCTAAGTTGTGACTTCTTTGACTTTTGAACTCTTTTCCACTGCTGGTATTGTTTTGGAAGCAGGTATCACACAGGCTTAGAGGATAGTATACTATGGTAGACTCACTGGCTTGTCAGACCTATCCTGCCTCTTATTTTTTTCAGAGGAATCTTTTTTTTTTGTTTTAGGTGACTGAAACATGTCATCTTCATGTATATACAATATGGATGTTCTTTGTGAGACACCCAAGTTCCCTTTCCATCAATAAGGGCTATAGACTTGAAAAGATATAATTCCCAATATTTAAGAAAAAATATTATAAGTATGAATGTTTTGCTTACATGTATGCATATGCACAATGTCCATTCCTGCTACCTGTGGTTTTTTAGAAGAGGATTCAGCTCCCTCAGAACTGGAGTTATGGATAGGTGTGGGGATTAATATAGGTATAGAAACTGACCTGGGTCCTCTGCAAGAGCATTAAATGTTCTTGATTGCTGAACCCTTGATCAAGACCCAATAATTCCCTACTTCATCCCCTGTGGTGGAGTGATTTTTCACTTCATAAGACACTTGGTATGACATATGGGTTTGAGCACAACAACAAGATGCCCTAGAAAGAAGACTTCCATAGTACTCAGGTTTGCTTCTTATTGTTTTTTACTGCTGTTTGTTTGTTTGTATTGTTTATTTTCATCTTTCACTTTCTGGCTCACCAATCCTAATCAAATAATCAAAAATAAGATACTCACTCCAAATATAACCCAGCTCTAAAAACTTTAGCTTTGCATTCATGAGAACTTAGAAAATGCAGTTGCTTAATTTTAAATAAGATATTGAAGATTTAGTATTTAGAAGCAGAGACCTTTGTCACTTTTGAAAAACTGACATTGAAAGTCATATTTATGGGGACATCAAAATTCCAGTGAATTTTGATGAATTTTGATGAATTTTGAAACAATTCCAG